GGCAGGCAGACCGTACGAACGATCCTGCTTCTCCATTCCGTACAGAACTTCTCTAAGCTCCTCCTAGGCTGCCCTGTTCAGCCTCCATTCAGTCTCCACGTTTCTCAAGGATGGGGACAAAGGACACTGACCTCCTTATCAAAACAAAACAACAACACCAAGAGGCTTCACAAGAGGTTGTTCACTTCCAAGAGTAGCTGTTCTCCCCCGTTCATGTTTACTTAGAGAAAGGGTTTTCTGATTAGCTATTTTGCAGCGGGATAATTATAGGGTGGCAGCATCAACAGCCATTTCCTTGTCTGTCATGTTAGCTTCTGTTGCTCTTTTCTCAAGGAGAATGTATGTTCCAAGAGCATGGGTGGAAACTGTTGTCGTAAACACTTCTGCGCCGGGCTGACCCATGATATTTTGATACCTGAGGCCAAAAAGAGGACAGACACTGCTCTCCAGTGAAATCAAGGGCCATGTTCCCTGTCACCAGTCAATGGAGGAAGGACATCCCATGCGCACTTATCCAATTCGTCGTAGCTGTGGATGTCCTGCTTTGACAGAGGGTCGGACTAGATGACCCAATCCAGCTAAACAGTTCTGTGAGGCTCTGCTTTTCTCCCAAGTCAGCTCTGCCCAACTGTGTGAAATGCGATGAGAATAAGCAACTAGGGTCTACCATGGTGTCGGTATCAACAGATGTTGTGGTGGTTTAACAGCCATTGGCACCCGACAAGCACCAAGCTTAATGGCCACCATCAAGAGTCATTCAAACGCCATTAGAATGCCGAGCAGCTCCGGGCAGGGAGAAGCAAATCGCAAGGGTAGAGGATCGTCTACAGATAGACACAGCTGGCGAGGAATTTGAGAGCAACAGAGACAGAAGGAACAGAAGGAAAACATTATCCAACCAGCTATGTAATAATCATCAGTAAATGCCATCAAGTCAATCCTGACCGATGGTGACACCCAGATGTGGTTGACCCTTCCCTTCTTCTGGGGTCATCCTGGCACCACCGTGCAGCTGGCCCAAGGCCACCCAGGCTGGCTCTTCTCTCCCAGGAGGCACACAATGGCAAATCGAACACCCAACTTCGGCTCTGCAGCCAGAGATGTAAACCAAACACAAAACAGCCAATACAGGCTGACGTTGACCGATCAGCTGACTCACAGATATTTCACTCACCTGAACACTTCCTCCTAGGCCTTTCTTCTGGACCTGTTTTCCTGCCACAGTGCTTCTTGAGGGAGTGTGATTTTTCAGGTGGTCCCCTCTAGAGCAGTGGTCCCCAACCTTGGGCCTCCAGATGTTCTTGGACTACAACTCCCAGAAGCCCTCACCACCACCTCTGCTGGCCAGGATTTATGGGAGCTGAAGTCCAAGAACATATGGAGGCCCAAGGTTGGGAACCACTGCTCCATGCCATCCTGGGAATCCCAACGGGGCATTGCGCCTCCCCCCCGCCCCCACCACCCCAGAGATTTTTTAAAATTTGCTGTGTTTTAATTGCAATGCGTTTTTGCAAGGCCGTGTTACCTCGCATCTAGTTTTTCCTCTATAAAGCTGCCAACATATTTTTAAAACAGTCATTATTCTGATGGTGCTCCGTTAATGTCCAACAATGTCTTGTGTTTAACACAATTTGCCTTGAAGAGTTAACGGTATTATCTACTGTATAATTTGTAGGTCCACAGACTTTCCTGATCAAACATTACTAAGCACACTGCCCCATTAACATTAAAAGATTTTCTGGTTTTTACCGCAAATCTCATTAACCCACCGGCAGAAGATATCAATTAGCAACTGCATCCTGTGTCTTGGGGGGGGGAAACAATGCATAAACCACATCAGCATCACTCAGAGAGCCAATTATATCATTAACATAATAGCTTCTAAAAGAATGTAAATACTAACCTAACAAAACACTAATCATCTTAGAAGCATAGCTGAAGGAGCAAGAGAGCCCCTCAAGCTTGCCCAGAAGTTACAATGCTCAGAATTAACTATTTACAAATTGGGAGGGGGGGGGAACTTAATTGCTTAGCATGCCTAGTTTGCTGAAAGTTGGGTCTAATGCAGTTACAGTGCGATGATGCTTGGGATGTGGTGGATAGCATCTTAGGTTGGTCGTCAGCCCATGGAAGATGCTCTCAAGCGATGGGCAGAAGACCTAATTTGCATTTCTTCATTCTGATGCAGTCGTGGCCCACTTTCGAGTCCGCTACAATGATGTTTTAAATAAAAATGTTCTTTCAAGGGAGAAAATAATCGTACTCTCTAGTCACCCCCCAAAAAAAACAATTGAAAAATTAGAGGTAACCATGGGTACTGGGGGAGCTCAGCTATATTGCCTCTTGCCCTCCCAAAGGGTCCTTTTGAGCAAAACGATGTTTTTCTTTATTTTATTTTTTTGTAGTTGGAGGAGGGGCTATGTGTGTGGGAAAGGGGTCATGCGTGGCTTGCAGAAGGCAGGCGGCCTTCCTTTGGAAAAGATGGAAGACCGCTAGACCCAGACCCAGTAGGCCGACGCAGATAGCTGCCTACGTTTTGCAACTTATCTTTGGGACAAGGCTGTAGGACGTTGGCTGATTGCAAGGGGCCCGGTGGGTCCTTGGGAAGAGCAGGTTGCATGCTTCCCTAGGGTAGTTCACCCGGTCCACCCCACATCACGTAGAGAGAGAGAACAGTGGACGGGTAAAATGTAGCGATGATGGCTAAAGGATCTTGTTAGCCGACTGCTTTTATGGGTTACTATAGAAACAGCCGCGTGCATCAGCTACGGAGTGATCAAATGGAATTTGCCCATTTTATGGTGGCAATCACGGCCTCTTCACATCGGGGCCCCAGTTGGCACTGAGGTTGATTGCCTGCATGCATCAGGAGAGGCAGAACGCTCATTAGCTATGAAAATCGGTTGCTTGTTCAGCCATTGGAAGACTCTGTGTTTGTTTTCTTTCCACCCTAAAGGAGCGTGAGTTTTCTGGCTTGGCATCCCATGAGTGTTTTCACAACAGCTTATGTCCAGGGTTGGCCTCTGCCAGAAGTTTGATAGGAACCACTGGGGCACTCTTAACCTGCTCTAAATGGGGCTCACACCATATTACAGAGCAAATGTGCAATCTGGAAATACCCCTTGATTCTCTACTGTCAGCACAGAGAACCTTTTGCCACCTTTGGTTCATATACGAACTTCATCCACTCCCAGAGAAGAGGTAGCTTGGCTTTAAGGATTCACGATCTATAGGCCTTTTGAATAGATTCCTGAAATGCAGGAATTTCCAGGTCTCTCCTCCCACACCCCATCCTGACTCAACTTGAGAACACGCTTCCTGAAGATATTTGCCTTGCCCTGCCTCTCTTTCGGCCAGTTACCAAGTCGAGGCGAGACTAACTTCCCCATTATTTTGAATGAGTTCCATCACTCCTGTCCTCAGTGTCCGGATCCGGCTGCCTGGTGGGCTAAGGCTGGTACAGGAAACCCATTCTTAGTTCAACATCTGAAGACACTGTCCATGGTGCTGAAACTGCATTACTATTCTCTCTCAAGCACCTTGGACACCTCCTATAGATGTTGGGCTACCACCCAGAGTCAAACTCATTGCCACACAGTTATCAGAGCTTCTGGTCTCCACTGGTTGACTCTCAATTTTATATCATACATTGTATAATATGATACCTGCAATATGATGATCTTTGGCTACCAAGGAATAAGGTGGGGGGAGAGAGAATCTTGCACATTTTATTTACTTGTTTGTTTTTTACATGCTTTTAAATTCTACTGAACCCTTTTTCTTCAATGCCTGAAATCCCTGTTGTTTAGCGCGGCCAGTCAAAACTCAAACAGGCCCATTGAATCCGTGCGGATTTGGGGAGTCAATCCTTCTGCACATTCCATTGATTCAAAGGGGCCTGATCCTTCTGCACATTCCATTGACTCAAAGGGGCCTGCTCTAGTTGCAGGTTTTCATCCGAGAGTTTTAATATTCGACACAACTCGTTGCTTCTAATATTGCAATTGATTCTATTTTTAACTATCTCACCCTCTGTCTTTTAAATATTTTGTGAGCAGCCTTTATGGGGAGGGAACGAAGGCAAGAAGCAAAACAAGCAAACGACACGGAGGAACGAAAAGCACGCTATCGTTACTGTGGAATCCATTTAGATCAAGGGTGGCTTAAAGTTTGTTCAAGTCGATGAACAAGGATAAATATTAGGCATTTGGAAAGCCAGAGAGAGAGAGAGAGAGCAGGAAGCCTGATGCATTGAATTTTGTTCACCTTCAGGTCTGGTTCCACTCCAACATCTTTCAGATACCTTTATAAAATAGTTATTGAATCCCAGGATGCTCTGTAGCTCATTATCTCAGAGGATCAGGGATAACACAGCTTTCTGCCAATACTTCTTCGACATGAATACAAACTCTGAAATTAGATTAGAATCCACTGCTATTTTTTTCTTTTCTTCATGACGTCCTTCCCCTTTGCTCGGCTGCCAAAACGCTTGTTTCTGAAGACTTCCCCAAGCTATTTTTTAAAAAATGCTGTCGAATTTACAACTTATTTTTGTACCATTTTTTTTCTTTTAGGGTGTATCCTCTGCATTCAATGAGACTCAGCAAGACTTGCTTCTCACTAAGAGATTGCCCTTTGCGATGCTAAAATGTGGTCTGCATTTTTAAAATAAAAAACGTATTTTAGGGCACACACCCCGATGGGCCAAGGCAAAAGGCTAGACTAATAAGTACTTTCCTTTAAGGCTCTTACTGTCAATAGCTAAGCCAAAAGAGTGGCACTTTAACCCTTTAGAACTGGGGATCAGAACCATACAAATGCTGAGTTCACCTCTAACGTTACGGCAAGTTACATCAGGGAGCATGTCCTTCCGGGGAGCCCCAGGGGTCCAGATTCAGCCTCCAGGGCCAGGATGCTCGCCCTGTGACGTCTCCCCCACCCCACACCTCTCCCAGGTTAGAAGATAAAAGATAACTCTTACCACATCCAAAATGTCCAGGCAACATTTCTGAATTTTATTTCCACCCAAACCAAAGGACCAAGGCAGGGAGAGGGGGAGAGAGAGAGAGACAAGCTTACCATCCTATTCAGTAACTACCTTTTTTCATCAGCCGAACCACGCTGAGTGTTCAAAGACTTACATTCCCTGTTCATGGGCTTCTAAGCAGCAAGACAAGGTTCTTATTGATAGCCGGCCAGTTTAAGAACGGTCGGGTACCGGGCACGGTGGGCCATGCATTTCTTCCTGTCAATGAAGATACTGTTGGCCTTCACTGCAATCTCTTTTTCCAAGTTCATCCGGGTGTCTTCCAGATTCCTCAAGGCCTGCTCGGACTCCAGAAGCTTCTTCTTGAGGGCCTCAATGGATTCGGTCAGCTCTTCCACTTCACTAATAAGCCTGCCAAGAAGGGAACCAAGCGCCCATGTTACTCCCAACGCATGGAAAGGCTGAGAAAGTGCAGCTTCCCCAGAAACTATATGTTCGAACAGGAATTGAGGGCTCACACCCTTCGAAGCAAGTTGTGCTAGAGACTGAAGGGTCAAACTATAACTGGTCAAGGACTCTGTGATCTGTGGGCATATGAAGAGGCCTTTGCAGCTCATAAAACCTAGGAGGGAAGGATTCCCAATAAAAACTACGGTGGGTCCATATGCAGAAGGGAGGTACATTGCAGTCCAGAACATCCAGGTGGTCCTTATGCACCCCGCAGCACCTCTTGGGGGGGATGTGTGCAGAGGTACCCATGGGGTGCAATTTTCCATTTTATTTGGGGGGATTTTTTTTTTTAAATGTTGGCTCCAAAAGCCAGCCTATCTACCTCCTGGGAAACACTGCAACCGCCAACACTTTCTCTAAGACTTCTGAAATCGATTTTAAGGAGTTTGAGGGGGCCACTGGAGGACTTTTTCAGTTTTTAGAAAACATGTGGCCAAAATCCTCTCAGCATACCACGAGAGGGCATCACTTTTACATTATCTGTTGTATAACAAGTTGCGTAACTCAGCACACAACAAATTAATAGTTATGGCGACTTTGTAAGTTGAGGTAACTTGTCCTCAAAGGTGACGCCATTTGTATGACACCAGGTATTTTATGATTGGTATAATCTATGATCTTGCATATAGCCCCATCAGCTACGAAGCAATAAAGTATTTGTATTACACCAGCAATAAGATTTTGGCCAATATTGTAATGCTTGTTTGTTGGAGTTTGCAAGAACGGGTTCAGCCCCTAGACTTCTGCATTTTGCAGATCACTAGGGATGTTTGTTTCAGATATTTTAGACTACAAATTCCTCCCATAATTCCCCTTTTGAGGAGTCCTACTTGCAGGATCCAGACCTTACAGACATCGAAATTGTGCTCACCTGGAGAGAAGGCTTATCTGGCAAGCTTCATGTCTTGGATAGGCCTAACTTCCTATTTGGAAAGGAAGCTTCCTTTCAAACAGGAAGTTAGGCCTATCCAAGCTAGGCCTTCTGTCCAGGTGAGCACAATTTAAATGTCTGTAAGGTCTGGGTCCTGCAGATTTGACTCCCAAAAGGAAGAATTATGAGATCTGTAGTTTTTTTAAAAAAAATGCAAAATGCAGTTAGAGAAAAAGTCAGGTATGGCTCTCACAGACAGAGTGAAATTAATTAACGGATTAATAAAAGGGAATCTGGACATTCCCAAGCTGGTAGCAGGAAAGACGGCAGCATTGGTAGCTATGTGAATTTTTTGCCCTGTGAATAGGTGTGTGAATCATGACCCTAATGAAGGAGTGCCTTGTAATATATAAGAGTAAGACCTTGAAATATCTTAACTAGCAGAATAATAGCAAGTAGGTTGAATATTAACGAAGAAATCTTAAAAGGTAAACACAGATTCTGGCTTTTCTCCTGAAGGAATCGTTGCAGAAAGAATGTCTCTCCCTCAGAAGAAGCTGGTTTCCATTTGAGAGCAGAGGGTTTAATGATTGTTTTGTAAAATGCAGAAAGAGTCAATTCTGAGCCACTTGTGTTTCTGATGATTTACAGTTTTTATCTTGCAGCCTGGAAGCTGGATTATTTATTCTCTTTGGCTTCATCTCATTTATGTTACTGATTTTATGGGCCGGGGAAGACTAGGAAGCAAAAAATGCACCCAGCAGTTCTAGCTTTTTCTTCTCCTTTTTAAAATGTTTTTATAAACATGTCAACATTGGGAGCCGTGTGTTGACCATTTTCCCTGTGTGTGTGTTTGCAGAAGCATCAATGCTTGCTTCATTAAATCCGCACCCACAGAACTCTGAGTTAATGGTCTTTCGTTGATAATGGCAGAAAATTGGTTGAAACATGGGGCTGAATAGATTCAGGGCTGGGAAGCATTTTAAGGAGCGACTTAATAACATGTTGCCCAATCAAAGTCTTGTATATTATTCTCCAACCTTACAATATACTTATTTTCCCACGTTTTTGTGACGCAGGAAGCAGAGTCATCAGACTCAATCTGTAGTGAACAGAGACAGCTTCAAATGCACAGCTAACAGAATAGCAAAGACACCGAATGGTTTAGCTTCCTGCCAACCAGGGCTGACCTCAGACATTTTGCTGCCTGAGGCCAGGTAAAAGGATGAAGTGTTCACTGTGTCTAAATTACATTGGCCCAGACACAGAACGTTCCGCCAGCATCTCTCCCCACTTTGATCAATAAAAGAACAATGGTTAATAAGAATGGTAGCTTTCTTAAATAATCAAAGGGGTTGGTACCCTTCTGTGAGAGCTAGAATCTGTCTCTTGAAGCAGATGCCTCATTATGCCTCATAGCAGGGAGGCACTAGATAGAATCCTGGAATCATTAATGCATTGGAAGGGGCCTCTAAGGCCATTAAACTCCCTGTTCAGTGCAGGAATCCAAGTCAAAGCAGATCTGACAGATGGTTGTTCAATCTTCTCTTGAAGGCCTCCAGCGTTGGAGTAGTCACAACTTCCCAAAGTCATTGGTTCCCTTGTTGTATTGCTCTAACAGTTAAGACGTTCTTCCTCATATATAAACCTGGTTTCCTACAGCTTGAGCCTATTGTTACATCTCTTGTACTCTGAGATGATCAAGAATGGATCCTTCCCCTCTTCTGTAGGACTACCTTCCAGGGATTTGAAGAGTGCTAATCCTCTCGCTCCTCAGTCTTCTTTACTCAAGGCAACCTGGTTTCCTATAGCTTGAGCCCATTGTTACATCTCCTGCACTCTGAGATGATCAAGAATGGATCCTTCCCCTCTTCTGTAGGACTACCTTCCAGGGATTTGAAGAGTGCTAATCCTCTCGCTCCTCAGTCTTCTTTACTCAAGGCTAAACAGGTCCAGTTCTTTCCATCTTTTCTCCTAGGGCTTGGTTTCCTCATCCTCTGATCATCCTTCTTGCCTTCCTCTGAGCTTGCTCCAGTTTGTTGGCATCCTTCTTAAAGTGTGGTGTCCAGAAGTCGACACAGTGCTTTAGATTCAGTTCTTTCCATCTTTTCTCCCAGGGCTTGGTTTCCTCATCCTCTGATCATCCTTCTTGCCTTCCTCTGAGCTTGCTCCAGTTTTTTGGCATCCTTCTTAAAGTGTGGTGTCCAGAAGTCGACACAGTGCTTTAGATGACGCCTAACCAATGCATAAAGAAGGCTGACTGCCAAAGAACTGATGCTTTTGAATTGTGGTGCTGGAGGAGGCTCTTGAGAATCCCGTGGAGTGCAAGGAGAAGAAACCTATCCGTTCTGAAGGAAATCAACCCTGAATGCTCACTGGAAGGACAGATCCTGAAGCTGAGGCTCCAGTACTTTGGCCACCTCATGAGAAGGGAAGACTCCCTGGAAAAGACCCTGATGCTGGGAAAGTGTGAAGGCAAGAGGAGGAGAAGGGGACGACAGAGGACGAGATGGTTGGACAGGGTCATCGAAGCGACCAACATGAATTTGACCCAACTGGAAGGCAGTGGAAGACAGGAGGGCCTGGGGTCATGAAGAGTCGGACACGACTGAACGACTAAACATCAACAACAACAGCCAATGCTGAATAGAGGGGAACTAGTACCTCATGGAATTTGGAGACTATACTTCTGTCAATGCATCCTACAATCTCTTTTGTCTTTTTTGCAGCCACATCATACTCTTGACTCGTATTCAGCTTTTGCTCTACAAATTCCAAGATCCTCCTCGTGGTATTATAGATATAATAACATGCAAACCAAGCTGATAGTGGATTCCACATTCTTGGGCATTGCTAGAGGGGGCAATCGACACAGGAATTATGCCTTTTAAAAGCCAGGGCAAAATTCAATATTCAAACTAAAACCTTTTAAACTTCCATCTGTCTGCCGCAGAGTGAAATATATACTTGAAGACTCTTCCATGTGCTGCTCCCTGTTAAATAACAACAAAAAAAGCCACAGGGTGATGTGAAGTGTTGATTGATTTGCTAGCTCACGTGGATGTTTGTTGCCGAAGATTGCTCGGGCCACTAGCTAAACATGTTCAAGCCCTATTGATTTTGGAAGGGAAGAACTGAGCCCAGGAGGGGTTCACTCTGCTTAGCATGGATTGCCCCATGGTAGGGAATTATCCCAAATCAATATGTGGTGTGTGTCCTGCTTTACTCAACAAGCTTTTCTGATTCCTCTGTGCTAATCATTTGGGATCCCTCTCTTTGTTCGTCCAGCCACCCGAAGTCAGAGAAGGCGAAGGAAAATGGAAAGCTGACCGCCGAAGAATTGATGCTTTTGAATTGTGGTGCTGGAGGAGGCTCTTAAGAGTCCCCTGGGCTGCAAGGAGAACAAACCTATCAATTCTAAAGGAAATCAGCCCTGATTGCTCCCTGGAAGGACAGATCCTGAAGCTGAGGCTCCAATACTTTGGCCATCTCATGAGAAGAGAAGACTCCCTGGAAAAGACCCTGATGTTGGGAAAGTGGGAAGGCAAGAGGAGAAGGGGATGGCAGAGGATGAGATGGACAGTGTCATTGAAGTGACAAACATGAATTTGACCAAACTCCGCGAGGCAGTGGAAGACAGGAGGGCCTGGCGTGCTTCGTGGGGTCACGAAGAGTCAGATACGACTAAACGACTAAACGAGCAAGCAAAGTAACCCAAGTACCATTTGAATCCAGGACATCTAAACCATTTGCTTCTTTCTTTCCCTGTACTGTTGACACATACAAGCAAAAGGCAGATCCAGAAATGTACAGGTATGTCCTTTACCGGAGCCCCACTCATTAAAATCACCTAATGTTTCAGTGATGAATCTGCTAAGATGCAACCCTAAACCCAATATTCCAGTCCAAATTACTCGGCCCTATAGCTGTCAGTCTCATGTTGCAGCTCACAGTGGCAACATCAGCAATCCTCAAGATATAATTTCCTTTTTCCTCCATAAAAGTCAGCAAAATTCCCAGTTATCCACGTTCAGAACCTTGGATAGCTCCAGTAAAGTTTATATGAAAACCCAGAGTGGAATTACTCTTCCTGCAAAGCTGGAGCCACCACCTTTCACTGGCAAACAGCTCTCCCTTCCAGCCCTTTGCTGCTACCTCCCAGCTTCTGTCTCCTGAGACAAAGCCTTACTCTGCCTAGCAGTAGAGCCTGTCTAAATGGGGTAGCTGAATTCTGATCCACACCTTAGAGCATGAAATGCAGACCAACTTATTCTGTGCAGGAATGACCCAATATCAAGTGCCTTAACTATTCCAGCTCTCACCCCATTCCATCAGCTCCATGGGGCTCAGGTTTGTCAGGCTGAGCTGCAACCTGAGATCAACCACCTCGAGTCTCCACACCTGTCCGTTATTTCAGCCGCCCTGGAATGGCTATTGTGAGGCTCACCTGAACTGAGCAGCATCTCTACAGAGGTCCACGTTGGGCCTGAAAGATCGGTCGTAAAGTCTCGTCTGAGCAACTTTGAGTGGGGTCTCTTTGTCTTTAATCGCTTGCTTGAGGGAGGCAATGTTGTTCTCTTGGTCCCCAATCTCCTTCAGGGCCTGTTGAACAAAAGCAACAAAGGGGGAGAAAAAAAAACCATTAGAATGGCTCCAGAGCTCTCTTGGAATAAGGCATGGGTTTGTCCTTTCCTTGGCCTCTAAGGTAGTGGTTCCCATGTGTTCTTGGACTGCAACTCCCAGAAGCCTTTGCCACCAGTTGTGCTGGCCACATGTCCTGTGCAGAGCAATTTTTCTGAAAGCACAACCTAAACCAGGTCCAGCTTCAGGAACATCTCACCCTGTGGGACATCAACACAGCATGGAAAAGTTACTTTCGTGAAGCGCTGTTTCCCAGAATTCCCGGGACTCTGGAACTTCTCTTCTTCCTAGGTAAGTTCCCCAAGATCTTACTTTCTGCAAGTGATGCTCCAGCTTGTGTTTGGCGTCCTCCATCTCCTCGCAGCGTTTGGCGAAAGCCTGGTTCACCGCGTCGCACTGCATACGCAGGTCCTCCACCGTGTCGTGGAGGATGTTGTCGATCAGGGCGCGGAGGTTGATGGAGGCCAGCTTCTCTCGCTGCGCCCGATAGATGTTGTCATGGCTGTGCTTCGCCCAAGTCTCTGGCGTCGAAGCACTGCGTACGGGACATGGAAGGCAACATATTAAGGGGGAAGGCGTCGAAACACAACAGGATCTTGCCACTAGTCATGGTACAGCTTCATGAGGATTATTTCGGTAGAGCTGTGCTTATAAGAGAGGGAGGAAGTGCGGTGCTGTGGCTAGAGTGTTGGGATGATCCTGGTTCAAATTTCTCCTCAGCTGTTAAACTCAAGAGGTGACTTTCAATGAATGACTGTCTCTTAATCTAGAGGTGAGAACGTTTACTCAAATTTCCATTTGGGAAAGGTTTGGCATGTACATTCCGGAGCTTGTTGAAGGTAAAAGGTAAAGGTAAAGGTTCCCCTTGACATTTAGTCCAGTCGTGTCCAACTCTAGGGGGCGGTGCTCATCCCCATTTCTAAGCCGTAGAGCCAGCGTTCGTCCATAGACAGTTTCCGTGGTCATGTGGCCAGCGCGACTAGACACGGAATGCCATTACCTTCCCACCGAGGTGGTCCCTATTTATCTACTTGCATTTTTACATGATTCAAACTGCTAGGTTGGCAGGAGATGGGACAAGCGACGGGAGCTCTTGTGGATTCGAACCGCTGATCTTTCAGCCTTGCAGCCCAGAGGCTTCTGCAGTTTAACCAGAAACCCCATGTCTCTGCAGTAGCCTTCCAAGCTGCAAGCCAGACCTCACTTCTGTGGAACAGCTTCTTAATTATCTCAACCACTGATTGGAGAGAAGAGCAGAAGCAGTTTGTAGACTGGGTCACATCCAGCCATCGAAAGACAGAGCCCCTCCCCTTCTATGTCTGTGGCATCTCTGAAACTGTTAGGGTGCGATAAGCATACCTTATTGTGTTGCAAAAAATGCAGTAGGATCCACCTATCCGCAGGATCAGTATCCACAGATTCAGCGGCTGAAAATACGAAATTTAAAAAACCGAGAAATACCTATTTCCAGGGTGTATTTATCATAACTGGCCACTAGTGGGAGCCGGCTGAAAATACGAAATTTTTTAAAAAACGAGAAATACCTATTTCCAGGGTGAATTTATCATAACTGGCCACTAGTGGGAGCCAGAAGCCACACAATGAACAGCTTTTGACACATTTGCTGCATTTTTCAGCATCCGTGGGTGGGGCTCTGGGAACTGATCCCCTGTGGATACGATGGTCCTACTATAACTGAGTAGTCTCGCTTAAGGATGAATCATGCAAGAGATTTCTCAAACAGAGTGCTTGTGGTCTCCATTCCCTCAACGCTAGCTATGATTCAGCCAAAATGGCACCACCCATTTGCAAGATGGCTCCCCAAAGTTTCAAGGATCTTTGGTCAGGCAGGAGGGCAAACTCAAGGAAAGGAAGAAACATTAATTAGAGAGAATGGGACCATACTTGATCCATTCACACCAAATGTTTACCCATTTTAATGGGGTAATAAAATGGAGTACCTGGAAACCTAAATTGAAGCCCCTTTCGGCGCTGCCACATTTTGTTGCAGTTTTTACCTGTCCTTCTGGTTCATCCGTGTCCTTTCTCACCTTTCCTCAAACTTGGACGAGCTGGGATGGAACTGGATGTTGGTGCTCTGGTTGTTGTATCTGCCACACTTCTCGTCGATGTTGTAGGTTTCGAGTTTGTCCGACCAATCCATCTCGCAAATCTGCTTGTGGTCGCGATTTAACCTGGAGGGTCCAAATCACCGCAAATCGAGCTTTTTAAAAAAATCACACTTTAAAGCACCACAATGTCCAATCCCGGGCTTGGATTATGGGAGTGAAATGGGATCCACCCAGCCCCGTTTTAGGTCAGCCTAAAAAATTCAGGCCCGGGTTGATTTCCTGGAGGGAAAACAGGCACCTGAAAACATCTTATGGGGCTGGGCTTTGAGTGCCCCGTGATAAGAAGATCAGAGGCCTTAGCACAACAATACATCCACAACAAAAACCACACAGATCACCGTAATCACCCATCTCCTGAAAAGGACAAAAGCGTATCCCACAGCGATAAATACTGCACTCCCAAGCCAACTACATCAGAGCACAGAGTGCTGTCCTCTGAAGATGCCGGCCACAGAGACTGGCGAAACTTTAGAACGGCCGAAGAGCCCAAAAAACCCACAACAACCATTAGATCAGAGGCCTGTTCTTCCCTAGAAGCCAAACCCATTGAGTTCAATGGAACTTGGTGCTTTCTTGCTTTGAATCTGGTTTTCGGTGTTGATTTTGTTTGCGCTTTTTTGTGGCATTGTTTGTTTATTTCTAAATATGTCCGTATGTCCTGTTTTTAGCCTTTAAATACTGTCTTTCAAGGATGTGAGCCGCCTTGGGTCCTCTTAAAAAGAAAGGCAAGGTAAATAATATTTTAAATTTTAAAAAACTTGTTCCAGAAAATATGCATAAAGCGACAGCTAGGGTGGCCTTGTATCTTACATTACAGAGGACAGTCCTCTAGCTGAGTTTGACCTTTGTTTGAAGGATTATGTAACCTGTCTTTGATTTAAAGGGAGAGAGAGAGAAACAAACCTCTATCTACTGAAAATTCAGTCCTAGTAAATGGGGTGCCACTAATACATTTTATTTTCCATTCCAGTCTCACAAAAAAAAATTCAAAATGGGGAGGAGGGGTACATTTTTCTTCTTCTTCTGTGTCCACCTGACACCTCGGGAATAAGAAAGCCTAAGCTTGAACATTTTGCATTATCATGCTGAGAACATCCTGGATTTAATCTCTCATTCAAGAGAAGAATCCACCCTTGAAGCGTGCTTTAACGAGCGCCATTAAAAGTCATTAGAATACAATTCTGAGAAACCCAGCTTTCACGTGATACAAAGCAGTCTGAGATCTTGTTTTATGGGGAAATTTTACTCTGCACCATGAATTTGAGAAATGCTCCCCAGTATATAAACAGAGGCATGTTAAGACGGATGTAAAATTGGACTTGAATACTGCAGTTTGCTTGTAATGGAGTTTTACTCTGTAGATTTAATTGCCAAGTGTGCACATCTCTCTGTGTATGTATAAGACACACCCATGTGTGGCACAACCAGAAAGCACATATATGTATGATTTAACTTCTAGTTCACACTCACAAACCCCATGGAGAACATTGAATCAGACCATACTCTTGCCTCAAGACACACAAGTTCTCAAACTCTGCTGGGGTGTGTCTTCCTGCTTGCAGTGTCTCCAGCTTTGCACATTGCAGAGAACCACAGGAAACTTTAAATAAGTTTTCTTTACCATTCTTCTAACTCTGCCAGGAAGTCTGCAGTGGGAATCAGAGTTGCTTTGAAATCAGGCTGCAAAGACTCTTAGTTCATACCACCATCTGGCGGCAACACATGGGATTTTTTTTTAAGCACTGCCATCTGATTTTAATATATCCCTAGAAGTGGGCTATGTATCCATGAAAAACAATGCTTTGATCAGCCTTTAAGAAACCAAAAGACTATTGAGTTTTAAAACAAACAAAAAAACCCTACCTGTTCCTTTTGAATTGGGGAGTTTCGAGGTTTCTCCAAACCCCCAAGAAACCTAAAAATTTTTTTGTTGCTGTTGTTTTTTGAGGGTGTGGATAGTTGGATAGCTCAGTGGTTTAGTTATGTGGCTGCAGAGCCAGAGGTTGGGAGTTTGATTCCTCTGCTGGGTCTCCTGGGAGAGAAGAGCCAGCCTGGGTGGCCTTGGGCAAGCTGCACACCGTCCCAGGGCTCCCCCTAGAGAAAGGAAAAGCTAAAGCACTTCTGGAAAACCCTGGAAAGGGTCAGCATAAGTCAGAACTGACAGCACATCATCATCGTTGTCATTTTGCTTGGTTAGTTATGTTATGTTTTCCCATTTCCAGACTTTTCCGGGCCTCATGGAGCCTCTGGTAGGTGTACAGGGTAGAAATTTGACGCAGCCACCCAAACCCACTGAAGCTGTCCGGTCCTGCTGTGTCCTCTCTGAATTTAGAACTCGCCAAGTTATTATTTCTTTTGGACTCTCACACCTCGAACGCCCTAGATGGCATGTCGATGGCCAAAGTTATAGGAGACCAGTTCACATCTTGGTCTTGGTAGGAGAGGACCAGTTTGGCTTATTTCCATCCCTCTCACGTGAGACCCAAAGTGGGTTACGTGGTCTGTTGTGGACAACCTGTGAGTAAGAGTGGGAAAAGTTCTTACTGCATCTGGTTCACAGCTTGCTTCAAAGTTCTTTTCAGGAGCTCTTGAATGTTTCGGACGAGTTCAGCCTCCTGGATGGGAACGATAGACACATTGGTACCAGAAATAACCAGAATGTGGACATTTTTTTAAAGACTACCCCTCCGGCTCAGGGAATTCCGGGATCTGTAGTCCATCTCCCGGCCCAAGCTCTGGAAACCCCTTGCAAAATGGAGCAGAAGTGAGTGTGAACACCACACGCCGGGCCAGAGGCACGCTGTGATGTGAGAACACAGGATCAGTCCAGGTAGGGGCAACTTGGCCGCTGACCATGGTTTCCTACAAATATCAGTTTGTTTGTTTTTGAAAAAAGAAAGTAAGAAAATCTCTACCCCTTAGAGTCGAAAAGATATGCTTGAAGCCATGTACGGGCCATCGATCTCTCTTAAAAAGCAATTAAGTCTGAGGAGTGGCTGAGAAAGATGGCCAGCCGGGGCCTTCCACGGCCTGTCTGTCATTTCGCCCTACCTGGGATTGCAAATTTAGAACAGGTGATTGGAAAGAGCAAGGAGGCGCAGACCTGCAAACTTAAAATCCTTCTGTTGATTTTCCCACTCTATGCAAGCTGGGGGAATCTTCCCTCCGTAGTCATGATTTACCTCCAACATCTGTTTTTTTTTTAATCCAGAGTTTGGCCATTCCTGATCAAGGAGGCACCGCCTCAAACTCTGCCCTACCCCAGCTCCATGAGAGAGAGGGACCACTTGCTCTTCTCACAGGCTCTGCTTCTTGGGGTTGCCACACCGAGAGAGGGGCTAAGAAGACATTTGCTCAGAATCATGCCTTCTCGGCTGTGGATCCTGCTTTATGGAATGGGCTCCCAAGGGACGTTTGTCAGGCCCCCTTCCTCCCATGCTAAAGAGTCTGTTATTCCAGGAATAATAATGGGCTCAAACGACAGGAAGTCAGATTTGGGCTGAGTATCAGGAAAAACTTCTCAACTGTTAGAGCAGTACGACAACCAGGGACCTTGAGTGGTGGCGATCACTCCAACACTAGAGCCATTCAAGAGACAATGGGAACAACTTCTGCTTGGATCTGGATTCCTGCCTTGAGCACGGGGTTGGACTCAATGGCCTTAAGAGGCCCCCTCCCAACCTCGTGATTCTAGGATTCTGTGTTTTACCCCCGAGCAACAGATCCATGGCTTGCCAAAGGAGACCAAAACAGCCCCTTGTTACTCACAAACAAACAGGCCTACCTTGAGCAACTCTACCTCCACCTGGTCCCGCACCAGGTCCGGAGGCTGCCTGCGTTCGCGACACTGCAGGTTGTCCGTGGCAATGCTGTACGGCACCTCGGAGGCGTCGAGGGCCCGCTCCAGCCGCAGCTTCTGGGCCGCCAGCAGGTCCGTCTCGGCCACCAGGTCCTCGATCTCCCTTTGGAGCTCCGATTTCCAGAAGTGGATGTCCTGGAGGCGCTCGCCCACCTTGGCCGTCGAGTCGTCTTGGGTGCGCCGAGCCAGCTCAGCCGTGTAGGCCGCCACGTTCTGGGACTCGTGGCGGACCCGCTCGGAGTGGTCACGGTCGGCGAAGGCCTCGTGGTACTTCGCGTAGTTGTGCTGGTGCCATTCCTCCGGCAGGTATTTCGCTGCCCGGAAGCCGGCTGTGGCCAAGCCGCAGGAGCTGTCAGGACCGGTGTTCAGGGCTGCCTCGTAGACTTTCATTGGCAGCTCGGAGACCGGGATGGTCTGCGGAGCCGGTTCCTTGGTCAGCAACACACCAGGGTGAGACATGGCTCTTTTTGGGTGTTGGGCCTGACCCCTGACACATGCACACACACCCAACAAACTTCCCCAAGAGGGGTTCCCCACCAAGAAAGCCCCTGGGGCTCCTACAGAGGCCTATAGGATGCTCGGCCTGCCACAAAACCTATGTGCGTCTTCCCGTTGCTACGGGCAACATTCCTGGCCCGTGAGCGGAGGAGAGTCGGGCTGCAGGGAAATGCAAACAGTGTCCTCCCGTTGCCCCGGCGACGCCTGAAGCCAAGGATCCCTGCGCGGAATGTTCTTTATAGAGGCCTCTCTCTCGTTGCCTAGAGAGACCAGGGAGGACCTCACAACAGGACCGCCGAGCTGGAAACCCTCTAGAAAAAAAAAAAGCAGAGAAGGAAAAAGCAAGGGAGTTTGGTTTGGCACCCAAGCAGCGATGGTGCCTTTTAAAGAGCATTGAACCCAAGGGGAGAAGCTTGCGGGAAAATTAGATTCCGAGCTGAACAGGGTGCAATATTTAGCGTGCTTTGCAAGAGCTGGACAAGATGCCCACCCTGAAATGCAACGCTCGTCGTGAATAAAATGAACACTGTAAACACTGTTGTTAGGAATAACTAGAACAATAGTATCTGGATTCTTCTTCTTTGTTGATATTGTAAATAAGTACTATTTACATATTTACAGTACTAGTCACATATTTACATACAAAGGACATAATAAACATAGAGTAAATATAGCACATAATGAACGTAAATACAGTACATCCAGGTTATGCTCAAAATCCTCCAAGGCAGGCTTCAGCAGTATAGGGACCGAGAACTCCCAGAAGTACAAGCTGGATTTCGAAGGGGCAGAGGAACTCGAGACCAAATTGCTAACTTGCGCTGGATTATGGAGAAAGCCAGAGAGTTCCAGAAAAATATCTACTTCTGCTTCATTGACTATGCAAAAGCCTTTGACTGTGTTGACCACAGCAAACTATGGCAAGTCCTTCAAGAAATGGGAGTGCCTGGCCACCTTAACTAACTCCTCAGAATCTATATGTGGGGCAGGAAGCAACAGTGAGAACTGAATATGGAAACACTGATTGGTTCAAAATTGGGAAAGGAGTACGACAAGGCTGTATATTGTCCCCCAGCTTAGTTAACTTATATGCAGAATACATCATGCGAAAGGCTGGACTGGATGAATCCCAAACTGGAATTAAGATTGCCGAAAGAAATGTCAACAATCTCTGATATGCAGAAAGTGAGGAGGAATTAAAGAACCTCGTAATGAGGGTGAA